AAAGTGTGTGGTTTGCTAGTAGGGATGTAACAGTAACCAAAATATCATGATACTGTATCGTCAAAAGTCTCACAATAATATCGGGGCTGTCACAATAAATCGAATCACAAGTTCCTTTGCTTAAATGCATGCTTTTATAGTAGCAACAGCTTATAAACATCGGGGACTGTTTATCCCATGATTCATTTCAGTGCAGACAACATGAAGAAATATGTATTTAACTTTAATTCTTGGGATTATGACAGTAATAATTCACACCAAAATCTTGTATTTTAAAAGCAAAAAAGTGTCCCATCTACATTTATATTAGCCTCTTCAAAATAATGCAACAACAACAAACAACAACTAGAATGCTAACAGCACACTTTGTGATTCTTTGACAGTAAAACACTTTATAACTACGGTCGGTACAGTTTCATTTTTAGCTTTTACAATGTGTCTGTACTGGGACACAACAAATTTTGCTTTATGCACACAAAATGTAAAGATTAACACACAACTGTAATTGACATTGCTGCTCAATTTCATTTTTCTCCAGCGACTAGGTCAGGAATCAGAATACACTAGATGTTTGCAAAAACCCCAGAAGTGCGAGTTTGGGCAGCAGCCAGTCAGTGAAGAGCCATACATTCTGTGTTGGCAACGATTCCTGAGATTGAGGATTTAAAGCCGGAACAAAGAGAATGTTTGGTGAATTTTATCAAGGTAAAAGACGTTATTGCCCTTCTTCCTACGGGATTTGACAAAAGCTTAATATATCAGTTAGTCCTATTAGCGGCGCATTACATACACCATGACCAAATAGCAGCGATTGGTTAAATAAAAATAGTACCCGCCTACCATCGAGTGAAAGAATTGTAATGCTACGAGGTCAGACAGTTTCTATGAAGTGAAACCGGCTGATGAATCTGGCTAAATGGACATACCACTAGACAAAAATTTGACTAGTGGTACAAGCTCTACAAGCTTCTACTGTTTTGATTCTGTTTGCAGTTTGCATGTGTTCTAATTGTTCTGTATTTCCTATCAATCTAAATAATAGTTACATTTCTTTGAAGTTTAATAACTATACCTAAGTTACTTTTTATATAACATTTCGGAAGATTTTGGTTTCAGTTTGGTTAGTATCTCATTCTAGTTCAACCAGTTCTAACTACCATAAAATACTGTTGTCTTTGCACCACTTCCAAACCTGGTTAAATGGAAAATCTTATGCCAGGAAATGAGTTTAGCCCAATCAAAATACACACCACTAAGAGAGATAAATTTCTATGAGTCATCACTGCAGACTAAAATCTCGCTCCACAAAAAACAGTACGCTTTATTAACGTGTCCTTTTCTGTGGTCTAAAAAACAAATGGTACGACTTTGATACCACACATTACACGTTATTAAAATGCAGCAGAATAACCGTATGGACATAGCAATGAAACAAAGTCAACTTCACCAAAGCTTTGTTTTATTGGAAACTACGCATGGCCACAGCGATGGTAAACCCCACATCTTATGATATTTAGCATGGGGCATTATACCGAATCCTGATAAATTTCTATCAAAAAATGATTTGTACTAGAGAAAAATATGTGTATGTGGTTACTGGATAAAGAATTAGATGTATTTTCAATCCCAAAATATAGTGTAGTTTTGGGGAAAGGCCAAACCTATATGACCACCATCTCCTGCAGTGTTGGTCAGAAACAGACTGAAATCCTTGCTACCTTTCAAATAAGAGGGTTAAAGCAAAAATTGTAAGAAATATTTATGCCAAAGCCTCAAACATGGATAACACTGCCATCCCAATATGACTTGGTAACCAACTTCACTTTGTATTACAGTGAAAGAGTAAATGATAGTCAGAAAAAATCTCTTGGCAGGGCGGTATCTTTTACATGTTATGCCAAAAAGTGGGAATTATTACAAACTGGATTTTCTTGTAGACGTTTGGAAGCAAAAACATAAATTATTAGTACAACAACTCTGTATTTCTCACAAGGTTAAGTTGCTTGGATGTTGTTTTCGTTTAGTGTTGTAAAGGCCTTGCCAAGTTTACATTATAAAACATGAGGCTCGGTTCAAAATTTGCTTTTGTTTGATCTTCGCCCTGTCAAATTCGGGGCAGGGGAAACATTGTATTGCTAAAAAGGAGATATGCAATGACTCTTGTTGGTCAGGAAGGGCATCTGAAATAAAAATCTACCACCGAAATATCTACAAATGATCAAGACGGTGAAGGCAGCAACCAAAAAGTGCACCTTGAAATATTTTTGGTGCATATTTTAAAGACGTATTTTCAATAACACTACTTCTTACCTCTGTCAGTTGAATTTTGAGTGGTTTTCTAAGAGCTGCTCCATGGGAAACGTCTAGCCCAAGTTCACAGCCACACGACCAAGGCAATTTAAACCTGTTGGGAGCATGCTCGCTGCTATACATAAACGAAAAGCTACGGATAGTTAAGTTTGTATCAAAACTAATATCCAGAGGCAGCGAGCAGGCAGAAAACTGGCTGGGGAACTTCCCACAATGCACTGTGGTAGAGTAGAATCTGGATGAAGAAATATCTGGCCTACCTCTGCTCCACACTGTGCTCTATGGCAGTCTAGTTGTGTTAGTAACTACTCTGGGTTATTTGACTATGTACAACTGGCTAATCACTTTTTATTGTTAGCTCGCTTGGATTTACTTCATTGCCAATATTTCCCAATGCTAATGAACAGAATTAAGAGTGTGCCTGAAAATACACGCATGTTGGGATATTTTTTGTCCATGCAGGTTCATTTTGAGGTGATTTTGCAATTAAACGAAGTCTAAACTGGTTAATCTAAAACAAAAATCTTAAATGTAGTCACTATTAAAGGATCTGTGTTAGAATGTTGTTTCCTCACCAAATATGTACCTGGAAAAAATATGTTTTGTTTCACGTTTAACACACAAATGCTGCATATTTAGGCTGAGTTCTTCTCTTCAACTGAAAACACTACCTTGTGATGTCATGTCTTGGTTATACAGGAAGCTGTTTAAAACTCCATATACCTTCATTAGAATCATTTGGATAATTTAGATATAGAAGATATAAGGAAGTGTCCACTAGCATTCTGATCAGAACTGAAGAAGCAGCTTGGATGAGCTGCGAAACGTCTTCAACCAACTAACTTTTGTCCAGTCGACAAACTGAATTTTCTCCTCACTATCTCGAGCTAAAGGCAAAAGTAACTAACTTGAAAACTACCTCTATGTGACATCACAAGGTGAAACAGAGCATTTTGAGCTGTAGAGTGTAGACAGACTAATAATAATGGATTACTCAAACATGTGTGAATGAAACAAAACACAACTCCAGGTACACTAGGGCCAAAAGTTTTAGAACACCACACTTTTTCTAGTTTTTTAGCTGTTTACTGTTGACCAAAACATATTCTAAACTTTTGATTCATCAAAGTGTCCACCTTTGGCAGATATAACAGCTGAACACACTCGTGGCTCGTTCTTTATACAACAGAAATCAGATATTCTTCAGAAAGTTCTTCCCAAGTCTGTTGCAGAAGTTCCCATAAATGTGTGGCACTTGTCGGTTGCTTGGTTTTCACTCTTCTGTCCAGTTCATCCCAAAACAGCTCGATGGGGTTTAAGTCTGGAGACTGTGCTGGACACTCCATGTTTTCAATCTTACCATCTTATTCTTTTTCCTGAGATAGTTTTGGCAGAGCTTGAACTTGTGTTTTTTTTTAACCTCTGGTGTTAAGTACTTACCTTTGTACCATTTCATTTGACTTTGCACAACTTGAATTGCAGTAAATAATTGGAAAAAATTAGGTTGTTCTAAACGTTTGACTGCTAATGTATGTTTTTGGAAAGGTAACAACATTATAACATGGCTTAAAACTCACATGAGTAAATTTTGTGTAATATAGGACCTTTCAGTTATAGTCAAAGTAAGAAATGCAGATTTGTTAAAGTAAACTAAGAGCTGCTTTTTTTATCGGCTCAAAACAGAGACTAATACCTGTTCCGCACTGAAGATTTTAACTGATATATTCACTGTCACTGGCAACTTCATCCAATTATTTTTACAAATGACTTTTATTGAATCATTGGTCATTTATAGATCAGGATCTCTGGTATGGCTCAGAAACAGCTGCAAAGCGGGTGGTCAGTTAGTTACTCCGCCGACGTTAAATTAACAGTGAATTTTCCAGAAAGCTTTAGTTTTCCAAAAAGCTTTATTTTTCCCAAAAGTTCAACCTCAGACTGAAGCAGGAATCTGGTTTTGAGCCATTGACACAGTGTCCAAGTGACCATTTCAAATCCCAATTCATTATAAGGAAAGTGTATGGATGCACACCTCATTCAGTTCACAATACTGAGGCCCACCCAAGAGTCACTGATTGACGTCCGTTGACAACTCCAGAATATAAAAGTCTTGTACAGCTTTACACAACAAGCATCACCACAGAAAATACTTGGCTTCCTTTGCGCTAAGCAGAGATTGAAAAAGGCATATCCAGATAAAATCCCATGTCAAATAAGACCAAACCAGACCTCAACCAAGTCCCAAACCAAAGACTTGGACAATCACTCGATCACTTGCAGAATCTCGTTTTTGACAACGCTGGCAAAATCAACTGGAATTGGTGCTGAATTGCGTCAACATGGATTTGATTTTGGCGTTATTTTTGTGTCTTAATTGTGTTTGTGTAAACTGTGCCGCCTATGATGCATAAGCTGCTACTTTCCAAAGTTGCGTCGGAAAATCGTAATCATATGCCATGACGAAGGTAAACAACGTAAGCTTAATCAAAACACAATTTGTTAATCTTCAAATTTCAACAATTCTTTAAAGTCATGTTCAACAACTTTTGGCAAACTTCTTGGCGACCGTGACTCCGTGTTAGCAATTTTGTGGAATTGTTTTCCTACTACAATGGCACCGCAGTAACTAGAATTTTGGAAAATGCTCAATACGACAATTTCTGATTATCTTTTCTTCTTTCTTTCCGCAGGGTCCTCCAGGTCCAAGAGGTGAAAAGGTGAGCCATTCCATCAATATCCATTGTTCAAACATTTGGATTTGGTTATCATCTTATCAAATATGTCTCCATTTGTGTAACCTATACTCCTGGACAGATTCTTTTCTCTGTACAATAACATATACATCCTTAGGCCATCGTGGTTTGTAATCTAAAAGTGTTCAAATTCCACTGACATTTACAAATACGCACCTGAGAAAATTAATGAGCGAAAGCCAAAGCCCCAAACTGAATATGAAATGTCTCACACTGCACTCCTCCATGAAACTGCAGTCTCTTTATAAGGCCATGGGGAGGAATGTGTGCCAGACTTAAAGTTGCATTGTCAGTGTATCTTCATGGAAACCAAACCAGAACAAGTTACAGGTCAGATCTGTGAAGAGGCAACCCCGCTTACAGCCTTATCCAACTTATAAAACCACATGTAATTGCATAAATGTAAGGCAGAGCTGTTTAATGTCATACTGTGGAACATTCCAGGGAGAACAATGGCATATCCATAGAAATAAGCAGGTGACGGACCCCAACCAAAAAGTTACATAGCGCACCTTTAAAACTGTGAGACCTCCATTCATGACTGAGACTGAAACAATGGGGAACATCATCTCACAACTGTAAAGGTGATAGTGGCTCAGGCGTCTCCAGCTTGTAACTCAAGAGCTACTGATAGCTCTTATATCCCGTTCCAAGTAGCTCTCCAAAAGATTTCTTATATATATTGTGCTAAATAAGTAAAATTTGATTAATTAAATGCCTTTAAACCAGGGCTCTTCAACCTGTAGCTCAGGAGCTAATAGTAGCTCTCCTCGCCCTTCCAAGTAGCTCCCTAAAGCATTACTGAATTATACTTATTGTGCTGAATGACTCAAATCTGTTGAACTGTCTTTATAAATGTATAATTTTGATGCCTAACTTTGTAAAGTCTATAAAACATAAAGGTTTATGTTTTATAGGTATATAACTGTTCCCCATCTAAGGCTTAATTTTTTGTGACCTCTAAAATTAGTAGCTCTTTGGCATTTTCTTTTTGTAAATGTAGCTCACTGGAAGAAAAAAGGTTGGAGACCCCTGCTTTAACCATTGTACATGTATCATTTGATGTTTAATTTTGTGCACTAATAAAAGGATAATAGTTTATGTTTTATATGCATCTAACTGTACCTCATTTAAGGCGTGACGTGGCTCTTATATATGCTAAATTTCTGTGACCGCTAAAACTAGTAGCTCTCTCGTATTTTCATTTTGTAAAAGTAGCTCCCCAGAGGAAAAAGACTGGAGACCCCTGGGTTAGACCATTCACCCATAAACCCAAAGGTTGCAGATTCAATCCATGCTCTGACCAGTGCACTGCCAACTGCAGGGAAAAGTTTAAAATATAATTATGAAAGGAATCCACTGAAACCAAATACTTCCTTAAACAAATAGTTCCTTAAAGAAAAACAAGCAAACCAAATGTTTTTCGATCAGTAAAAATGCCTGTAACTGAATAAATGAAATATAGATATGTTTAATGTCATACTGTGGATCATTTAAGCAGATGGTGGACCCTCTCCCAGAAAACTTACATAGTGCACCTTTAAGATAATAACATAACATAACACAGATAACGTAGATAACATACACGTTGAAACTTCTCACACGAATCCCACCATTTGCCCTTCATTGAAACACACAGCGTAAAAGCATTTATTTACCCACCCAAGATTAAACAAGCGTGCATTAGCGAGAACCATTCACAAACATTCCCCGTTAAAATTCAGCTTTTTTGGACCCAAACTTCATGACCTGTTTTTATTTGAAAGTGCTGGGGCATTGCATTGGAGTTTGTGTGAGTAAAAACCTCTGCCCGCGTGTGATAAGTTGTTGAGCTCATTTTATTGCTGTGGCCGCGTTGTAAAGCTGCCAACCAGAGCGGGGAGTGCAACAAATGAGAAGGTTAGGGATGTCCGCTTATCCGTTTCAAGCAGATTAGGACTATAATTCAATGTCCTCACTCGTTTATATCTGAAACAATAGTACACCAAGACTTCACATGTGAACAAAGTTGGACTGTTAATAAAAAGCTGTTTCGAACTAATGATTTCTGTAGCTTTCAAGGAAGATATGTGCTTTTTTTTTCAGTATTTAATATAGAAGTATATCTTATGTAATTCACTATTTTACACTTTGTTTTGCAGTATTGACTATAGCATTAAAGGTGCATTGTGTAACTTTACTGGTGGAGGGTCCATCAATGCCTTTTTGTCCGAAATGTTTCACAGTATGGTATTAAACCTTTCTATCTTCATAGAAACCAAACCAGACCAAGTTACAGGTCAGATCTGTGGAGAGGCGACCCCGCTCATCATTAGAATGCCTGTTTTTCTAGGTATTTTTCAGCTCTAAAGCCACTTATAATTCAATAAATGTAAGGTAGAGCTGTTTAATTTCATTCTGTGGAACAATCCTGGCAAAACAATAACACAGAAACAAGTAGGTGACACACAGCCAACCAAAAAGTTACATAGTGCACCTTTAGAACAGGAATGAGTCCATTTATTTTGTATTCTGCAGAACGAATAGGCCACACATCTCTAGTGGCATTTCACCGTAACTAGCACCAAACTTGTATTTGCATGTTTTAACTGTTCAGAAAAAAAAACTCTACTTATACAGTCCAAAATCAGAATATTTTTGAATAATCACAAGCAAGTACAAAAAAGTGGGCGGAGACAAGGGGAAGTTTACAAAAATGCATTGAGGACTCAAGTCTCAAATGCAGAACAATGGAGGATTACTCAAACATGCATGAATCTATCAAAATACAACCCTTGACAAAGCTTGTGATCATGGAACATTTATTATAATAAAATTTGTGCTATAATGAAATCTCCCAGAAGCCATTTTTATATAATATGTCCCCTTTAAAGACACCATGAAAGGTTTCTGCTGTCTCCCGGGCTTAAAAATGGAACTGGCAGAGTTACTTCACCACATTCACACAGAAAACCGCTGCGTTCCTTCTCTGTCTGATATCCAGCCCGTGTCGGTAGATGTTATCGTAAGTGATTTGATTCCCCACCACAAAGAAAAGTAATGTAGCTGTATTAACAACAATATTTACAGAAATGGTCAGAGTATTACACACATTTCTGAGAAGTTCTGAACAAAGATGTATGAGAGTATGAAATGTATTGCAGAAGAAAAATCAAACCTAGAAGAACAGAAAATCCTCTGCACTGATCCTGTCTCGTAGTGATAAACATACAGTACACAGATTCAGTGTTTTGTCCAGTACAGGGATAAATACTTTTTTCCAACGGGCATAAAAAACATAAAGGTGCACTATGTAACTTTACTTCATGGAGCTGATATTGCTTTACCTAGAATATTACACTATATGGCATTAAACTTATCTATCTTCATGAAGAGAAGCAGGTGACGCTGTTTTTCTTTCTGTGGAGATCTTGCTCACAAAAATGCATGTTTTCAACTTTTTCAATATACAAACACTTGTAACTGAATAAATGAAAGATAGAAATTCAAAGGGACAGTCCAGAATTTTGAACATAAGACCTCATTTCCTAGTGAGCCAGAGTGTTGGAGACGTGTGGAGACACTTTTTAAAATATTTCATCCAGTTCTTGTATTTGCAGAGGTCGCTGGTGCTAGGCTAGTGCATGTCAATGGCCATAGTTATCCTGCCACTAAAAACAGTCTTACCCACTCCACAAAACACCCGAAGCAAAACTATTATGACACCAGATGATGTAAATGTCTTTGTTAATAGAATAATGTTTGAAATAAAACTAACCTTGCATCACATGAATCGTCGGATGTTGAGGGACTATTTTCTCATATATCAGTCCGCCGCTGCCGAGCTTTCTATCAGGAAGTACAACTTGCTGCTCCTGCTCAGACATAAATCCTTCAAATGCAAGGTTGGTTTTTACTTCTGAAATTATTCTATTAACACAGACATTTACATCGACAATCTGGCATTATAATAGTTTTGCTTTGGTTGCTTTGTGAAGAGGGTAAGACTGTTTTTATTGGCAGGATAACTATGGCCATTGACATGCACTAGCCTAGAACCAGCGACTTCTGCAAATACAAGGATTGGAGGGAATATTTATAAAAGTGTCTCCACATGTCTCCAACACTTTGGAACACTAGGAAATGAGGCCCTATGTCCAAAATTCCGGACTGTCCCTTTAATGGCTTACTTTGGAGAATTGCAGGCAAAGTAAAAAACACATCCATGGAGACAAGAAATGTTACTCAGTGTACTTTTTTCTTTAATCATTAGACATTTTCGTAGTCAAAGATTAGTTTTAGTCCCTCCTCAAAAACATACCGGGTTTGTGTTTTGATTCATTCACACATGTTTGAGTAATCCTGCAGTATTTGGCTATCTAGATCTCTAAATCTTAAATTGCTCCATACCACCTTGTGATGTCATGAAGTGGTAGTTCTCATGTTAACAATTACTGCTACCTTTTGTTCAGTAGAGATTGACTATTCCAGGTTTGAAATGAACCAAATGCGAATGAAACAAAATACAACTCCAGGTCTGTTTGTGATGAGGAAACAACATTTTAAGAGAGATCAATAGTGCAATATCTGCCTTTTAACAGTTGGATTTTAGTTATATAATAATGCGTTTTCTTTTGCAGGGGGACCAGGGTGACCAAGGACCACGGGTAAGTTCATTTGATTTTCCTTTGCATGTGAAAAGGCTGTTCACAAAAAGAGGTTGGAGATGCAAGAAATTCTCTGGATAGTGTTCCTCCCATGCGGCCAAATGCAACAAGCAAATTCAACTCTTTTTATTCCTAATTCAATGCAAGACACTTTGGACTGCGCACTGTGGTATACTTTTCACATCTCCGCAGTTGTATCCTTTTCAAATCTAACATAGGGCTGCGTTTTCAGGAGTATGAAATATGCTCGAAAAGCCAACTGTCTCTGTAATCACTAGCGATTCAGTCAGCGCTATACGCACTAATCATTCCCAGTGAGAGTAGTTTGACGTTTCGATAAAAGTGCTGCTTCTAAATGGTGTTATAAGTGCTCTTTCATGCTCGGCGGTGCTCGAAATGAATTACTCAAAACTTTAGCAATCATAGCTTCATTTTTCTAGGTTAAAAATTGACTTTCTGTGGTGGCTTGTTTAAAGTAGATTGCATTTACCAAGTCATGTGACGCGTATTTTACCTTCTCTCTCTGTCTGTCTATCATCAAGACTAGTTTTAGTTCTTTTCTTTTAAGTGCAAATGATTTTTCTCATTTTTACTTTGTTTGGTTGGTCATGTATAGTGGAAATTTGTTAAAAAAGGTTAAAGGTTATATGCAGAGGGGGTTCTACTCAGTAACAGTTGCATTTACTTGAATATGTTTTTGAAGATATTGTAATTTTTGTCATTTTTGAGCGTACTTTTACTCCTAATATTTTAATTGAACAGTACTCTTACTTGAGTAAAGCGTTTGCTTACTCTTCCCACTGTGAGTAAGTGTACAATTGACAATAGCTTGATGTTGGCAATAATTGTAGTATACCTCTATATGTTATTAACATGCAAAATTCCATTAAATAATACCTATTATGTAAATTATGTAAGCTTTTGCTCATGTATGGAATTGCACCTGTTACCTCTTGTTAAAGGGCCCGTATTATACTATTTTCTGATCTATGTTATAATGTGTCCTCATCAAAAACATACCTAGAGTTGTTTTTTGTTTCACTCATTACGCTAAACATGTTTAACTTACAAATCCTGCATGTTTAGGTTCTTTTCTCAAACAGAAGACATTGTTCCACCTTCAGATGTCATGTATTAATACAGGAAGCGCTCCACTGTGTTTTTAAAGTCTATACACTTTCACTAGAATCATTTGGATAATTCCAGACCTTGAATTGCCAATCTCTACCGAACTAAAGGTAAAATATAGCTGTTAACTTGAAAACTATGGCTTCATGGCATCACAAGGTGGAACAGATCATTTTGAGCTTTAGAGATGTAGACAGACTAACGATAAAGGGTTACTCAAACATGTGAATGAACAAGACACAACTCCAATTATGTTTTTGATGAGGTAACAACATTATAACATGGCTTAAAGCTCACAAGAGTCAATTTTATGTTATTGGGTTCTTGTTTTCAGACCAAGAGTTTGTTTTCATATTTAACAGTTTTGACTGCTCACTAGCGTTCTTCCTCGGAGTCTGAAAAAAGAACAAAATAACATATAATTATCAGAAGACCAAATGAACCTCATTGGACTAAGAGTCAAATTTGCGTAATATAGGCCCTTTAAAAAAAAAAGCTTAAAGGTTCTCTATATGTTATCAATACAAAAAAATTACTCACAATTCTTTTTTTCTGACATATACTTATTTTACTTTTTCCCAAATAATACCTATTATGTAAATCAGGTTAGCTTTGTCTTTTGTTTACCTTTTGGTTGCTATGACAGTTGTGGTATTGCATCTGTGTTATTTCTTGTTAACGACACTTTACTGACATGAGCAGTCCAGCCTGCCATGTGCACTTTAAGTCTGTAATTGATTTGGTGTTACACAATGGTTCTTCTTGACAACTCTGAAAAAGCAGCCATCTTCTGAGCCGATCTGATCCTGGCCCCTAAGTCTTGGCGCCCACCCAGACGCCAGTACGTTTTACCCATTAACTTTGTCATTCCTCCTTCAGGGCCACTTGTGCAGCGATGGGCATTTCTTATGATGTGAAAGTCAATACAAATGACCTTCCCTGTGAAATTTGATTAGTGGGCTCAAAGTGATAAAGTAGTTCTCTATAATAATACACTCCAATGGTTTCGAATGACAGCCCCAAGATCTACACTTTTACTTTATGCCCATAATAAAATCTGCCAACGCTTTTTCATTTCCTTATTTAATTTTTAATGATTTTGGGTTGTCTTACGCGTCGCAAGTCACCACAAGGAAACAGGAAGGAAATAATAGTGCCCTGAAGGTTATAATATCCCAGTTTGGTTCAGATTTCACGCTCCTGCCCATAATTTGTACCCTTTTAACCTGTGAAATGGAGTCATCTGTCTCTATCCGTTGGGTGATTTATAGTTCAGAAACATTGGCGTGGCTGAAAGACCTGTAGCAGTCGCCAGCAGAGAGCAATTTGTCTTACAGTGTAAATAAATAAACTAGACACTTTCACATTTCGTTAACAGATGGAGAAACTGTCGCATACAAGGTGAAGAAGTCAAAAATGTAGATGGAATTAAAAAAAAAAAATTTATATTAATTTATGTTTTAGTATTGTTTTTCATAATAAATATTCTTTATCCTTGCAAATATATTTTACACTAAACTACTTAAATATTTACATGAAAAAAAGTAGATGAGAGAATACCATGCATCCTTCGGACTTCCGGTCATTGCGCATTGCTTACTGTGAAGGATCCTCCGAAAAAGTGAGCATCATGTTTGATTTCCCAGTGGGATGCATCTGTTGTCAAAGCCGATCTTTTCAAGTCTTTTGAACCATATCGCTTCTGTTTCTGGTTCTGATATTGTCATATTTTAGTTATGGGATTCGGACATTGTTATTGTGTGGGTGTTGGATGTCCTAACAGCGGAAAACGGGCTTTGGAAGTTTGTGAACTCCATAACTGCAAAAAGGAATCAGATCTGTGTGACTGCAAACCTCCGTTCAAACTGTTTCCCTCCCTCACAGAATTGAAAAATAGTGACAGGCGAAGGCGATGGGCAGTATTGATACACAGGAAGGACCAAAAAGGAAACCTTTGGCTGCCTAAGAAATCATCCCGAGTTTGCAGCAACCATTTTGTATGTGGAGCGCCAACAAAGCAAAATCCCAATCCCTCACTCAACCTTGGTTATGAATTTTAAAAATCAATGACAAAGTGAAAGGCATCAGCTCTTTGCAAAAAAAACACCTTCCACTTCTTCCTTCCAAGACGTGATGTTGCTGTAAAGCCAGTCCAACAAGAAAGTGCGAGCTCAGCCTGCTTGTCTTCTGTACTTAACAAATGAGATTTTGCTTCGATGGCGCTCCACATACAAAATGTTTGCTGCAAACTCGGGATGATTTCTTAAGCAGCCAAAGGTTACCTTTTTGGTCCTTCCTGTGTATCAATCCTGCCCATCGCCTTCGCCTGTCACTATGTTTCAATTCCGGTGGGAAGGGAAATTGTTTGAACAGAAGTTTGCAGTCACACACATCTGATTCCCTTTTGCATTTATGGAGTTCGCAAACTTCCGAAGACCATTTAACTAAAATATGACAACATCAGAATCAGAAATAAAAGAGATATGGTTCAAAAGACTTGAAAAGATCGGCTTTGACAATAGACACATCCCACTGGGAAATCAAACATGGCAGTTTGATGCTCACTTTTTCGGAGGATCCTTCCCAGTATGCATTGCACAATGACTGGAAATCCGAAATTCTGGATGCATGTATTGATTTTGTTATATTTCACCTTTGGCATTTAAGCAAAAAAGAAAAAAAAAAGTCCTGTTGTTTACCAATACACATGTTAATAAAAGGTATCAAAAATCATATTCAAAGGTGCTGCTTTTCTGATAAGGTGGTCCTTGAAATATTTCACAGACATTTTTAGAAAGAAATAACATCTCCATGGAGACAAACAGGTGGCAGACTCTTCACCAGAAAAGTTCCATAGTCCACCTTTAATTCAACCTTTAATTCTGAAACAAATTTGTTCTCCTCACATTCGTAAATTACCGAGAAGCCCTCCACAAAGGAATAAAACATCTTGAAACAGGATAGGTCACCACTAAATCATATTACCAGAAATGCCATATTGACATTTTGCATTAGATTAGCTGGGCAATGTCGCTGAACAGTATTAGAGAGATTTCCTTAATAAATGAAAGCATAACAGGAGAAGCGGGGTCCGACCTTGAGCGCTGAATTCATCTGGCTCATTTCATGCTCACTATTGGCTACGCAGAGTCAATTAAAGCCATATGGACAACATGTAAACAAGCCAGTATGTCCTCCCAGCTCCGCCGTCTGCCAAACGTCGCCCCATGTAAACAGATGGAGAGCTGGAAAATTCAGGGCACCGCTTACGCTTTCTTGTATATAGCAGGGATAATATTGCTTGCAAATGTTTAGTGCTCCTTATTTTTTTGCTACTCTGACCAGATGTCTTTAATCGGCGACAGACTATTAATATTGTTCGATCCAAACCAAACTGTTCCAGATCAAAGTGGCAGAATCAAGGCGTCAATTTGTGTTTTGATGTAATTTTGGAAAACATATCACTCACTGTTTTCTCAGGGTTATTTTAGGATTTTAGGTTTCAATGGGGAACATGCATTATTTATGAGAAATGGTGTAACACTTATTTTAGTTTCTTTAAACACATCAAAAAATCTTTATTCTAGCTCGCCCTACACCACAATAATGCTTACCCTATTCAGTTTTGAGCTGTTTGGGTAAAAATTTATTGTAATTTGACAAATCAATGTTATGGGGAAAGCCTGGGCTGATAATTAATATTAGGCCAATATTTTGGACATGCTGATATTTTAAACTACACTTTTATATTTTGAAAACAAAACTGCCGTAAATAATTCCTTTTTAGAACTCTTTCTAACATGAGGACAAAATCTGTTTTCAAATTTATTATCAGTTTGTGTAACTTTTCTGGTGGAGGGTCCATCAAGTGC